CACTCGTGGTAAGCTTAAATTGCTTGTGTTACGAGTGGTCCACGCCAGTAGTCGAATGGTGGATTCGAACCCACGATTTTACGACGGTTTTAATAATAGTTTGAAGCGCAGATATTGTTGATACGTAAAAGTCGTAGGTACGTCGTTGTGTTATAAACCTGCGCATGTGATTTATTAGAAGGGACGATTCGATGGTGATTTAAATCTCAAGTTTTTTTTTAATTTGATTAGGCGCCTGGAGTCACTATACTCATCGATTGACTGCTGGTTTAAGCTGGCTCAAAATCTCCCATCTAGTTATTAAACAAAGGAAAAATTAAGTAAGTAATTCCGTCCTTACATTCATCCTAACAATAAATTATTTTAACGCTCTTCAGTTAACTGTTACGCCATTACTATAAAACAGAATGCTACATAAATAAATCAAAATCACGATTTCGAAGGTCATCCAGCCAGTCACAAGGCATATTTGATACTTCTTAGTTTTTATGAGGACCGGTAAAGCTATTTATAGAGCGTAGACTGGCTTGATTTCATTCTTAAACGGAATAAAATTTATTTACATGATAAATGTTATTATTATTACTATGTTCTTCATCAGCCTTTTTACCCGATGTATCTACGAGACAGATTATGTTTTACAGATGTATTATGTATGTATGTATTACAGATATATTATGTTCACTGCTCAAAGGATATTGAAGTATAAGGTGTTGTTAGACAAAGCATAAAGCTGGTTAACGTGAAATATATAAATAAATAAAGAAGACTATCCTTCATCATTTTATAGCCAGCCATTCTTATCAAAATTCTGTTCGTCGTGTCGATTCCAGGAGAGACAAAATCAAGAGGATGGAGATGACAAAATCAGGACCCTACAACAAAATCTAAAAAAAGAATGCAAGCATGGTAGAGACACGTTGCAGTTATGGTTGTAGCACGAATGAGTCGGCTCGACCGGGGGGTAAAGACCACGCTCTCACAGAATATCAGCACAAAATAGCAGTTTAATGCTACTGTAACCATACGAAAGGTAAGAGTGTAGATAACCGGAGATTTTTACTGAAAATGAGACATTTCAGCATTGTTCTCAGGGGTGACAACGAATCTGATGTCTATGACACAGCATCCACTTAACGTCAGGTGGACTGTGGGCTTTTTTATACCCTTTTCTATAAAAAAATGAGAGAGAGAGCATATTTATATAAGTTCCTTTCTTTAAAATAAGTAATAAAATTATTAAAAATAAATAAAAATATCTCTGTATAAATAGGTCTGTGGTCTGAAAAGTTTCCGAACTAACAAAGATTTTTAAAATAGATATATAATAAGATTCCTAAAATTTATTTTTATTTTTCTACAGTCTCCTTGTAACTCTTCCACCGATGGTCTCATCTCTTAAATCTAACCAAATATATTGCAGAGAAAAACCCGGCGTTTTTCTCGGCAAAATAATTGTTCACGAAGTTGATTGCTTCCTCATTTAACGAAAATCTCTGTCCTCCGAACGAAGCTCCTGTAATGGTTTTTCCTTTTGAAAGATAATCGATTAAGATAACTCCATGACTATCCCAAAAAACAGTCGGCATCACTTTCCCAGCCGTAAAAACAGTTTTTGCTTTTTTTTGAACCGGTTCCGCCTTTGCAGTCCACTGTTTCGACGCTATTTTTGTTTCGGGCGTACAATGGTGTATCCAAGTTTCATCCTCAGTAATTGATCGGCACCAAAACTCGGATTTACTGCGCCTAAATTACGCCAACAGAGCGTTAGATAAATGTTCATTCGAACACGTTTTTGGTCTAATGTGAGTAAACGCGGCACTCAACGCGCTGACAGCTTCCTCATGTCTAAATCCTGATTTAATATATGATAATTAACACGTCCTTGGGACATTTTCATAGCCTCTGCTATCTCTCTCACTTTAATTGAGAACTTTAACGACGTTATCGTTAGTAGTTGCAGTTTTTGGACGTCTTAATGTTCATCGTCTCCCAAGCTTCACGGCCACGTTTAAATTCAGCTGCACAAAATTTTACCGTGGTAAATTATGGTGCAAAGACCTCATGCATACATACATTTCAAAAACAAAAATTTAATGATAGCTCGATACTCAATTTTTTCTCTTTTCACAAAAACACATCGACTCACACGACGACTCAAATAACAACTACGCGTCCAAAACGGCTGACATTTTAGTGCGTAAAACTGTCAAAAGATGCACAACTATATTTACTAGCTTATATTGACGAGTTCTGCCATCTTCACGTTGATGTCGGAAACTGTTCAGGCCACTCTGGTACATAGATGTATACAAATTGACAAACGCAAAGTGGTGGCACTTCAGATTGGTACATAAATCTTACGCTTATTTCAGTACTAAAGAATTTAAAAAATAGAGAAAATAATACCAAAATAAGATAACATCATAAATGACAAGTTTTAACAAACACATAGTTTATCGAACTTAACCCTGATTATCGGTATCGACATACCCCAAGCGCGGGTCAAGAACCGACCACGCGAATCCGGTTCAAATTAATTGTAATACATTGAAATGAAATTATATATACAGAGGCCATTTGTTATATAATAACGTTTCTATAGCGTGATGAAATCTATATATTTATAAAAATAAATAATTAATATTCTTAACGTCACTTTTGCAGATGACGCAACTACGGAACGTACATGTACGCATTAAATACGAATATTATTAAAAATATAGACAAATAATTACATATACTACTCTTAAAGTAAGCTATGAAAAATATAATTCAGAGGGTTATCTTTTAAAATCAGCTTATATTTATAAGAACACTGTAAGAAAAAAAAACGAAAATAGAATCCTAATGTCCTCCAAGACGAATATCGGCCACGATGCTGCAGACAGTTGCAGTGATTATTCCCTTTTTCAGTCACTCTCACAGTCCGATGGAACAAAAATCTGACACGACCAGAGAGAGAGATGAGGCGCAGTCAGTACCAACGGCTTCAACTTTTACAGGGTTGTAATAGAGCCAACTTCCTGACTTCAGGCACAACTGAGATGTCAGTAGAACCCTCCCAATACATTACATATTATTGTACATATATATATATATATATATATATATATATATATATATATATATATATATATGTATATTATGTATGGTTTGTCAGGCAGAAATCGCTTAAAGCTATATGACCACCGTTTGTAGTCATAAGTTTTCCGTTAAATAACCGGGAAAAAAAATTCCGGGAAATAGAGTAAATGGGGCACTCTAAATGTGTCAAAAAAGGCACGTATGGCAATTCACAATGCTGTGTTGGTCCCTACTTTAACGTATAGTAGTGAAAGTTGGGTGTGGCAGAAGAAGCACGAGAGTAGAATCAACGCAGTAGAAATGCGGTCCTTAAGGAGTATGTTAGGGCTGAATCTGAACGACAGGGTAAGAAATTGTGTAATAAGAGAAGAGTGTGGTTTGCAAGTTGATGTTGTGACCAGGATTAAGAAAGGAATGCTTCGGTGGTTTGGTCACGTGGAAAGAATGAATGAGGAAAGAGTGACAAAGAAAATTTATGTTGCAGAAGTGAATGGCAGAGTCGGAAAGGGACGTCCTAGGCGAAAATTTATCGACCAAATTGGCGATTTATTGAAAACGGGCCAAATTAGGAGTACCCTTAACCGACGAGCATGTATGCGTAGGTGTATGGATGTGAAGGAGGCGAGAGAGGTGTGTCAGGATCGTGCCAAATGGAAGTCTGTAGTCTCTGCCTACCCCTCTGGGTGACAGGCGTGAGTGTTTTATGTTTTCCGTTATTGTAATAAGTTTGTTCAAATGCAATAAAGAGTTATCTATCTACATGATTTTAGACCACATGTTTAGCAGTCGCGCTTACGATTACTAGACCAACGTTCAAGTCCAAAAAATAAATAAATAACACGTGTCCTGAGTTCGACCCGGTACATTACAATATTAAGTACTTAATTGAGTTTTGCGCCGAGTTAGTTCTAGTTCTAATCCATTGTTCAATAATTTCGTTTTAAAACTAAATTTAATGAATATTGTAAAGGTCTGTTTGGAGATTCCAGTTTACAATCGTTATTCGGACTTTTATCAACCTGGTTGGTGGTAACCCAAGGACGTTTGGTTATACGACTGGCCGACGATTTTTTTTATCATAAGGTCTGATGTCCGGTTTTCTATATAAATACGCATGTATGTATAATATATTTAGGCCGCGACTTGAATACTAAATATTTTATTATCGTTCGCTGTTCAGTCAAATATCTTCAGCAGAAATTAACATATCTAAAGTTCACTAAGTGAACTTTAGATATGTTAATTTTTTAAGACAAAATTGTACAAGCCCAGAAAAAGGCTATTTGTTAAGGTGTGGAGATGTACAATGGTATCACGTTCATGTTCACGGAACACGAACTAAAATGCACGTGGAAAGAAAGACTACTGGCAAATTAATAGCATGCTTTAATGTATACCTTTACATTTATAATACAATTTATTTGTATCACGCTCGCGATGCACCTAATACGCGCTGCGGGCTTGCAATGGTGAGTATCTATAAGCAGTTGAATACTCAAGGTGAGTATACAATAACAGCACTGTAAGGCTGTAACTGTATGTACAGTACAGTATGCAAAGTCAAACGTAATTAAAATAAAACTTTCTATGCGAGTTAGCTAACACCTAATGCGGGCTATTGATACTTTCACTTTAAATATGTGGAAAAAATTAAAATTTCTCCAAGTTTTAAAACTATATACCTTAGTTTGAAGTAAGTATTACCGAAATAAATTTTGTTAATTTGTCTGCGCGTGAAAGAAATTAAACGCAAGTCTGAAATCTAGATTAAACAACCCATACACAATTTCTAGCGCAATTTTTTGTATCTAATAATTATCCTTATAATGCACTCATTGACACTGAGCACGAAGAATGTGTGGGTGCGACATTCTATTGAAAAAGGACATGAAGAATAAGGAATTGCTACTCACCGGTACTTCAACAGGTTTAGGTTTTACATATCCATTTTTCCTATAGCCGTTTAAGCTCGTCTCCAACGTCTCCAATTTTCCATTATAATGCCCGTTAGTTAGCGTTTTCGTCATTATCACAGCCGACATTGTAAAATAATTGTTCTCTATTTCATTAAACCTACGTACACAGATCCGAATTATTGTCGTCACAAAACCGTAAATGTCTCTCGCATTGTTAAACGTAAAGCGTTAAATTATAACTTAAAAATTTATCACGCAGTACTGAAAACAATTTGAGATATCGTCACGTATTTCTTTCAATTTTGCTCGTGTTATGTAAAACAAATCGGTTAAATTGAGAACGCTAACAGAAGTGTCGTAAACACGTCTGTTTATTGCAAGTTACGGTGCATGACTAACGATATCCGAGCGGTTTGCAGACGTGAAGTGGACGGCAGCGGAATGTATGTATATTAGTGAGGGAGAGTGTGGGTATGAGGGCGGGTCGCGGGGGGGAGGACGCCGGTGGCGCGACGTCGACGTGGAGGCTCGGCAGACACGCGACGCCCCGCACCCGCAGTCACAACAGAACGCTGGCCCCAATCAGCTATATAGACCTATAGCGTCGTTCACTCACCATAAATATACACATTATACCGTTACTATAGGATTAAGTAATTAATCAGTAAGATATCTACTCTACACTGCCTGCCAAAAGTTTAAGATTACTTCTAAGGAAAATTTTTACTATTGCTTTAAATACCTAGGCTGCACTAAATGTATCGAGAATGGAATATTTCCACTGTTCCTGTCATATTAAAATCTTTTTAATTGAGAACTCCTTGGTTTTAAAAATCGAATACCATTTATTTATTTAAAAAAAGATTCTCGGTCTTGTCACAAGGTTTTATCATACTTGTTTAGTCGTTGAGAAAATGGAATTGACTCGAGAAAACGGAATTGACTCGAGAAAATTCAAGAGCGATGATTTATTATGACTTTCGAAGTGGTTTAACACAAAAACAGTGTGTTAACCGGATGATTTCTGCATTTGGTGATGAAGCCCCATCCAAAACCACAATTTATCGGTGGTTTGCTGAATTTCAACGTAGACGTGTCAAGCTCAGTGATGATTCCCGTCAAGGTCGTACAAAAACTGCAGTCACCCAAGAAAACGTTGATGCTGTGCGTAAGCTGATTGAGGAAGATCGCGAAATTCAGGCAACTTTAGACATTGGCATGAGTCAAATACAAATAATCTTGCATGAACAATTAGGTGTAAAAAAGTTGTTTTCCCGATGGATACCGCATTCGCTCTGTGAAGAGCGCAAAAAGCGGCTCGCGTTACTTGGTGCGTCAGAACTCTCGAAAGATTCCACGCAGGATCCTCAAATGCTGTATACAACATAGTATCAGGTGAAGAATCCTGGATATACCCCGATAGAACCCGAAACAAAAAACCAGTTACGAGTTTGGGTGTTCGAAAATGAGTTAAAGGCAACAAAAATTGTTCGTTCACGGAGTGTTGCAAAAAAAATGGTGCCGTTAGTCTCCAAAACCGGTCATGTTACGACTATTCCTCTTGAGGGACAAAGAACGGTTAATGCAGAATGGTATGCTAGCATTTATTTGCCATAGGTCGTTTCTGAACTCTGTAAAGAGAACTGCAACCGCCGCATCATCCTCCATCACGACAATGCGAGTTCTCACACCGCACACAGAACAAAAGAGTTTTTAGAGCAAGAAAACTAGAATTATTAGAACATCCGCCGTACTGCCCCGACCTAAGCCCTAATGATTTCTATACTTTCCCTAAAATAAAGAATAAATTGCGTGGTCAGAGATTTTCATCACCTGAAGAAGCTATGGACGCCTACAAAACGGCCATTTTGGAGACCCCAACTTCCGAATGGAATGGTAGCTTCAATGATTGGTTCCATCGTATGGAAAATGGTGTCAAATTTCGCGGAGAATACTTCGAAAAGCAATAAATACATTTTTAAATAGTAATGTTGTGTCACTTCCTTGATTCCCGAAATTTTCAGTGCCGCCCTCGTACTAAAAGTACTTATTGATATAGAGATGCCGCGAATACTCGCTATTACTCGGTATTCGGCGTTACTCGACATTTTTTGTTATTCGTCGAATACCGAATAATAGCTAGTATTATTCGGCATTTGGCGAATAGTTGTCCAAAATAATCCTTTAATGAACAAAAAAGCTATAGACTTAAAAATAGACCAAGCTTAATTTTTTCTTAAAAAATAAGACACACTTAATATCAATTATTATCATTAATATAAAAAGTTTGCCAAAAATCAGTCATGTCAAGCTGAAGTTAATTAGTTAGGCTTTTTAATAGGGTATTTTAACCATTTTCAAAAATTGTTTTAAATGAATCCTAGAGTGATAATGAACCACTATAATTTTTATATAGTTTTTTTAAAACCGAATAGTGCCATAAAAATTACTTTTAATCTATCGTTTTAAATTTTCGCGATTACTCAATAATCGTAATGATAACTTGAAAATTTTCGAAATAACACAGCACGTTAGCTAGTTCTCTTAATTAGTGATACAGAACACTAACTCCTTAAGTAGGATCAGTGACGTCACGACATGACTAATATGACGGACACTGTTTTACAGATTTAAGGCACAGACGAAAAAAAATTCTTAACAAGATAAACAAGGCAGTCAAGACAAAAATTTAACTCAAACTCAAAAGTTAGCAAAACTTTCCGCAGTATGAAAGAACGCAATATTACATTAAAAAAAATTCGAAAAAAAAACATGTTTGTGGCTAATAAGCACGGTAGTAATTACACAGGAGAAATTAAACCCTTTTTTTTTTGTGTTTCTCTAAATTTGGCCATGAGTGTACAACACTTACATTGAAACTCTACATGTAAATGATTCTACTACAATGCTTTTTTTTCGAAATCAACAATTGGCGTCCGGTGACATTTTTCATGTGAATTTTAAAGTTCAAGTAAATCTACAATCATTTCAGTAGCAACAAGTGGTTTTTTATTTTCTCTACGAGTACGTTTTTTTATTATTTATTTTTCGAGATTTGATATTTGCGCTTTAAGATTTACATCAGTCTTAAAAACGACCTCTGCCGTAAGTCTCACAACCGCGTGTTATTTATTTTCTTATCCAATTTCTACGCTCCTTAACCGAATAGGTATTTTGACCTTTTACACAGTAAACTTAGTACCGAGAAAAACCCGATACTTGGTTGCTCGCTAAAATATGTACTCGGCACGTTTCTCTAAATTTGAAATACTTCGATGCATAGAAAATTAAAGTTTTTTCGCAGCTAGTGTCTAGAAATTTATATTGACCAAATGTTTTTGTCAGAAAGACAGAGGGAGCGAAAAATTAACAGCAACAACATCTTGTGTAGTTAGTTGACTTAACGAAAACCATGGGATAATTTACACTGAATCAGACGACGATTTGAATTTTATGCAAGTTCAATGAATTTTTTCGAACTTGTTTTATTACTCACAACTCACACTTTATTACCTCGCATTTCAAAAACTACACTTGTCGAAAGACATGATTATAATTATAACGATGATATTAAAACAATGATCTGGACGTTACGTATTTTGTGGTATGACCGCGTTGATATTAGTCTGATATAAGTAAAGACTAAAGCAGTGGCGAAGCTTCAATTATAGCCGAAAAGCCGGGCTTGCCTTATTAAACCTGAATCAATCAATAATATCAACTAATAAAATAACTCGTAAAATGTTTCAAGCTATTTCAAATTTCCAGCGCACTCCACTGTTCGACACATGACCGATGACCTCGTATTGCCTTAGCGATACTGCTGCTGTCATAAAAAATGAGTTTTAATAAAGCTAATAGTTGTCTTCCTCGCTCGCGTGGGCTTTTTACGGGGCTTTCGAGAAGACGATTTTCACGTTTCAATGTTTATTTACTCTGTGTGCTTATCTTAAGCGATTTAATATTACGAGTTCAAAATTTATGCTTTTTTAAAGATTTTTAATGAAAATGGAGGATAATAGTGTTCCTTGTGATGAATTGAAGTGTGTTAAAGTGATAATCGGAGAGGAAATCTTTAAACTTTGTTGAGATAATACACAAGGTTAAGAGTGTATTTCAGACTTATCAATTATCGCAATTAAAAACAGTTATTGGTACAATTAAAACATTCACCAACATTTTACGTGGACGTAATTAAATCTTTCCATAAGAAAGCGAGACGATTCCACTTATCTTATCTTATCTCTTATCCATTAGAATGTAAATAATTTTTTTTTAATTTTGTACATAGTTTGTTTGTACTTTGTTCGTGTTTTACTTTTGTTCATGTATTGTATTGGATGTAAATATTTTTTTCTTTCGCTTAAACAAACCCAAACGGCTTTCTTCAAAGTCACCGAAGCTATGCAATTGCTGATATGTAATACAATCTATCTAGCAGTGGTATGCCTTCTGTGTGCTTTGTTAAACACGTCCTTGACAGCACTGAACATGAAACTGAAGCGTGGAGACAGATCAAGATTGGTGTATTTTTATAAAACTGCTAAAAACAACAATCTATATTTTTATCAATTTATATCTTGGGCTTGCCCTAGCTTGGAGCTCTAGCTTCGCCACTGGACTAAAGACGCTTTGGGTTTAGTAAGAAAGCGAGTGGCATTTTATAAGCAGCTTAAACGTTGTAAAAATTTAAATTAAAAAATAATTTCTCGGTTTTAAAAACATTTTCATTAGTTTGAAAAAATATTTTTATTTATAATAGGCATTTTTGACGTTTATAGAAATTATTGTTTGAAAGTCTTGAATTCTTAGTTTAAAGATGATTTTAATATTTTGTCTGCAAATCATCAGATAAAAGTAAAGTAAAGTTACAGCCTATATACGTCCCATTGCTGGGCTCAGGCCTCCCCTCATTTCTGAGAGGGTTTAGGGCAAGGAAGTGTCCGCCGCGCTGCCCAAATGCGTGTTGACGAACTTCACATGTCTTCGAAATATTTTTTTTTCTTATTCCTCAGACATGCAGGTTTCCTCACGATGTTTTCCTTCACCGCCGAGCACGTGGTAAATCAGCACTTAAAATTGCAATTAACAATTTCATTGGTGCCGGCGGG